AAAAAAGTTACTAAAAATAATTTGCACTGTTTTCTATTAACCTTCTATATACGTATCATATTAATTTCTTTAAGATGTTTATACGTAATACGATTAAGTTTTATTTTATTAATAAGGAAAGTTTTAAAAATTATGCATGTAGAGAAATTATGCATGCATTAATAATCATGTTGTAAAATAAAATAACATGAAGTACAACAGTATAAGCATTAAGACAGTATGCATTTAGATAGTATCGACTGTAAATAGTGCTAATTCTACCAGAAATTATTTTTATATTAAAAATAATTTTGATAAAAAGATGCTAATTATAAAATTTTTGGTAATTTAAAGATTAAATTAAGTATATATATACCATTTTCTAATACATATATTTTTATTTACAAAACTTTATATTTAAGTGAAGTAAACTTCTTCTCAAACGAGATTTTTTTTGGTTTATATAAATTTATGTGCTGCATCATCATATTAGAATAAAAAGAAATAATTGGCCTAAGTTAATTGCCAAAATTAGTCCATGCCATGCGTAGTAACTAATAAATAAATTTTGCAGATAAAAGAGTAAACATGAGGGAATCCAACTTAGCAGAAACTTGAATTTTTGCTAAATATAATTATCATATAATAATTACATAACTATTATATAGTTACAATATAACTAAAATTATAATATAATTAATATGTGTTAACTATATATTAAAAATATTACTATTATATTTTAAAAATATTTTTGTAATTCTGTTAAGTCACTATTAACATGATTAATATTATATATTTATAATATAATTATAATATGATTTTAATCTAATATTATATTAAAAATATCCTCTAATAATCTAATAATAATCTAATAAAATAATATTTTAATAATATAATAGCAATTTGCTTAAAATAATTAAATAATATTTTTAATATATATTTTAATAATTTTTTTTATATATATTAAATATATGTTTAACAGATGATTTTAGGATATTTAATAGATATTTGTGTTATTACAAAAAGATGTTTTACAGATATAGTTAGAAATAAAATTTAATTTTATTATATATTAAATATATTGTTAACGGATATTTACTTTATTACTAAATGAAAAAAGTTTATCTTAACCTAAGCTAAACTGGTTTTTCTAACCTGGCCGGTTAAATTTTACAAAACTTTAAAAAATTTATTTATGTATATTTACTATTCGGGTAAAATATCTATATGTTTTTTATATACAGTGCAGACAACCTAGTCCCGACAAACAAATTTGACTGATTTCAAAATGTTAATCCTTGTTCATAAAAAACAATAAACAAAAAATCTCTTCATAGAACGTTAAAACCATGCAAGCTAAACATTTTGATGGTCTTAAATTTTTTTTAAATTTATTTTTAATTAAATAGTAAAAAATTAAAATCAAGGCAATTTTATAATTAAGCAAGCAATTTGGCCGCTTAAAATATACTATTAAACAAGCAATTTGGCCACTTTACACATTAAATTTGTCTGTTCTATATATTAAATTTGGTCGCTCTATATATTAAATTAATTATGTTAAATTAATAATTTGGCCATTTTATGTTAAAATTTTAAATTTGGCCGTATCATATATATATAAATTAAAATTTAAATTTGGCGGCTAAAAATTTTCATTTGTTGGGACTAGGTTGTCTGCACTGTATAAAATTTTTGAAAATAAGAAACTTTGTTATGAGAACCGATTTATTAATTTGTATAGCCTAAGATACACAGAAATTTCTAAACTATATCAGTTTACTGACAATCCTGTCTAATAATAATTGATACTTTCTTTTAATTAAATTCAGAATTCTACTGAATAAATAAATAAAATAGAAAGAAGTCTTACCAGATACAAAAAAACTTTAATAAAAATCGGAAAATTCCTTCTCGTACTCAAGAGGTTATAAGGAAAAAGTTTAGCCATTGCAAAATACTGTAATTTCTCTTTACAAAAAATTTAATGGGAGCCACCTTATCATTGACTGAGAATCATATGCCTAGTTAAGCAATTTTTTCTTTTTGCATTTCCAAACACAAATTGTTTAAATCAATGACTAATAATGATTATACAAATACAGTTTATCTCAAATTAACGCAATACAATTAAGCATTAGTAGTACAAAATTTTAAACCTCGTATAAAAAATTAAGATAGCACTATGAATTGTAAAGAAAAGCTTTTCGAATCCAAGATAATTCTTCTATGACCTATTCTAAACTTTCAATTGGAAACACACAAGAGTTGGGGTGCCTAATTTCCCCACCACTTCACTATCGGAGAACTATAAAATTGATTAATAACAGATATTCCGATATGTGGATAATTAGTAGAACCAATCAGAAGTGGTGGGGAAGTTAGTAAATTCCAAAAGTTGAATGTTACAACCTTATATACTGTTTGATATTAAACTACTGCATGATCATTTTAATTTATTATAATACGCGCTTACTTGCATCCTATGAAAATATATAGTTAATAATAATTCGAAGACATCTATGAAGACATTATTAAATATGTTAATCCTGATAGAGATATTACCATATCTTATCGATTCAAAGCCTTGACTCGGTTTTTTTGAACTAGTTTAGTGTTTGCCAGTGATGCGAGTAATAACGAACCTTTCCGTGATCGAATTACTAAGAATAGACGACCAAAATATTATTGATGCAAAGTAGAAATAATAGGAATCATAACAAAAATTATTATACAAAATACATCTTACTCACGAAATTACAAAACACTAAGAGGCACCCAAGTACAACTGAGTAATAAAGAGCACCATTAGAATGAGAAAAACATTATAAAGAAAAAGGTAATTGAGATATCAATATAGAGTACTGTGCGTATATTGTTTTATGAATAAACTATGTACTTATATTCTGATAATTTAACAGGCAAATGAAAGAACAGAGAGAATTAATATTTAATAGAGAATTTTAACGCGTAATGTTTGCATTATTTTATAATAAACTATATACTTACGCCCTTGTAACTTGACATGTAAGAAAAGGAACGGAAAGTAATATTAAATGAAGAATTCTGTTGAAGAAACTACTTACAGATCGGTAATTTAACATGTGGAAATAGTAAAGTAATGTTTAATATTCTATTGACAATAAAATACGTATTATTTTATAAAAAATTTACAAAATGGAAATGTAACACATAAGTGAAAGAACATGAAAGTAATATTTGATTTAATAAAGAATTCTATTGACGATTAAATTTGAATATTATTTTATAAATAAACTATTTAATTCCCTTCTGATATTAATCGCATAAATGAAGGGGAAGAAAATAATAATAGAGAATTATATTGATGATAAAATATGCAAATTATTTAATTATTTTATATACTTACCCATTTGATAATACCGGTATGTCGGTTTATCTGTGTAGGATATACTGCAAAAAAAAACAAAGAAAAAACAAGCTATTTGGGCAAAAAGAGAATGTAAGCAATGTTTTCTTTCACATAGTCTAGAAATTATACATTTATATCCACAATAAATTTGCAATATTTGAATGCAATTTTAATTACATGCGTATAACTAATTATGTATAGTGAGGCTTATAAACTCAGAAGTTCTCTGACTGGCAATGATTTCACGATGCCTAGTCTAGTTGGGATTTTCAGATCTATGGTATATTCATCGCAACCCCTGATTGCAGCTATTGTACTTTGATTATTATGATCTGCAAAAAGAACTGCTTTAAGAGCTTGGCGCACAAAACTGACAAGCCTCATGAATATTTCTGGATCCTTCATTACTTCCACCATATCAGTGCACTTCAAGTGTAATTGAAGTATTTGACGCAATACTCCTACATTAACAAATTCGGATAATTCGCTATCTAACGATTCTTCTCTAAAATTGATAATTATTTTTACTACGGTGCTTTCAGAATATATGTTAATTTTCAAGTACTGTATTATAGATATTGGATCCTGGGTAATATCATTTAGCATGTACATACGTACTTACCCTTCATGAGTTTGAGAAAATTGGTTTGCAAGGCCTAAGATGGAATAATGAAATTTACATCGGTACCCATCATATCAGGTACCGACTTCTTTAATCAATGCCTTCATACAACATCATTTTTCGAAATCTTACACACACGTATAATCAATTCTTCATATAATTCATGTGTGTTGTTTCTGGTACGTAAAAAAAGAGCCTTACACTCTTCCTGGAGATTATTTTTTTTATGCTAAAATTGGGGTGTACAAGTCAGTTTATACTACTACAATTAAATTGTTAAAATAGTTAAAATTTTACCTGGCTTATTTGTACAGTATTTGACATATCATTATTATCCAAGAATGTCTTATAACTATCATCAATTACATTATTTGACATGTTATCATTATCCAAGAATGCCTTATAACTATGATCAGTTTTCGATAATTGGGCACGGTGAATAATATTAGCCAAGTTCAGAATTTTTGGATGGTTAGCTACCCACAACGAGATTTCGAAATCATTAGATGCATCACAAAACTTCGTAGTTTGAGTTTCAGTATCTATTAAATATGTAAAATTGTTAACACGTAGCTTTACTGTATATCAGATTACATTAAAAATAATTCTCACCCTCATTTATGTCTGTTGATCTTGCTGTTGAAGCCGCTGCTGTCGTATGTGAAGTCTCATTTCTGCACATTGATATTGCCGTAGAAATTTCTGCTGTCGCATGTGAATCCATCGTTACCATACGTAATGTATAGGTATTCGCATGTGAAACCTTACTTGCTGAATTCTTGGCTATAGATTTCGAAGGTAATATCTTTTCAATATATGATGTTTTATTGATTGTAAACGCTTCAGAAGAGTTAGAATAATTAGCTAAATAAAATGATAGTTATAAGTAATATTAATACAAAAGTTCATTCGTTCAATATATTTGAAACTCGGCCTATATTTTTTTTTTCAAATAAATTAATAATAATACGTATATACCATTCTCAGTAGTATAATTTAGAGCGCCTATAAATTAAATGTAAATGAAGTGGTTGATTACTTAAATTATTCAAATCATATGCTTAACACATACCCGATGCTTCTTCATAATTATTATCTTCCTCTAAGCAGTATTCATCTTCGTCACTATAAATTTCAGTAATTTGTTGTCCAATTCTTTGATCTGACGCATTTACTGATTTTTGACTATTTTGTCTTCTCGAAGGCAAAGTCGATACTTTAGAAATTAAACCTGTATATTAATATCATTTTCAAGTTGCTTGTTAAAACATAAAATTATAGATGCAATAACTTAAACAAATTAAGCAACGTACCTATATTATCTTCCTCTAAGCATCGTTTATAGTCTCCTATAACATCTTCCTCTAAACAATGCTCATCTCCGTCACCATAATTTTCATGAATTAATTTTCTGATTCTTTGATCTTGTTCATTCGCCGATTTTTTAGTATTTTGTTTCTTTCTTGGGGGCAAAGCTGATACTTTAGAAACTGAACCTACATATATTATTATCATTTTCAAGTTGCTTGTAAAATATAAAGTTATAAACACAAATGAATTAAACAAACTAAAAAATATACCTATAGCATTTTTCGCCCGAGTTTTAATAGGAGCCCTGCTTCTTGTAACAGCTATAAAAACTTCTTCTTAATAAAGATATATAATTTAAAGGAACTTTAGAAATATTGTTTCATTCACTTACGGGCTTTGTTTTTTCTAGGTGCCATGGTTTAGATCGAAAAGAAATTAATATCTTAGTGCTTTGTTACTACATATGTATATATTTAAATAATTTACCTATATTACATATCATTACATGTCACTTTGATTATACATAGTTAAATATTTAACACATCATTTCTTTTGGTTAAATATTTAACACGTCATTTCTTTTGGTAAATATTTAACACATCATTTCTTTTGCTACATATTATTGACCTTTCGATTACGCATTGTTGACTTTTAATTATGCATTATTAACTATGCACAATATAAATTGCTTTAATTAAATATAAATTACTTTAATTAAAAATAAATTCACCAAACATCGAAAAAAGCATCAAATTTATACTATGAAGCGATCAAAGAGAACAATTTATCTCTATACGGACATACCAAAGTTACGCACTAGAAAATGATGTAAAAAAGGATGGTTTGACATAATGAATTCTGTTGATAGGGATGTTCTAAAGAATTCTTTCTCTCCTCAAAAACACAGTTTAGTTTTTATTAATGAAGCTGACAAAGCTGATAAAAAAGCTGATGAAATGGATAAAGAAGCTAATGAAGAAGTCAATGAAGAAGTCAATGAAGAAACCGATAAAGAAACCGATGAAAAAGCTGAAGCAGAAATGGATAAAGAAGCTAATGAAGAAGTCAATGAAGAAACTGATGAAGAAGCTGAAGCGGAAATGGATAAAGAAGCTAATGAAGAAGTCAATAAAGAAACCAATAAAGAAAACGATGAAAAAGCTGAAGCGGAAATGGATAAAGAAGCTAATAAAGAAGTCGATGAAGAAGTCAATGAAGAAACCGATTAAGAAGCTGATGAAGAAGCTGAAGCAGAAACATTAACAGACGAGGTTCATTGTTGATAAACACATTAAATTATTCATATATAAAACATTAATGCATATATATATATTTTTTTTTTTTTACAAAGGAGCTGAAACAAGCTGATAACTTATATGATAATCATTTATTTCAAGAATCTACTTATAGACCATTGGTTGTTGCAGAGGAAAGCCAAATTAATGACGACGTTTTAGAAGAAGAGTCATCCGAATTTGAAGATTTCGACAGAGAGTTCAGACCATACTTTCCAAATTTTACATTAGCGATGTTATATGTATAGATTATGAAGCACATGATTTGTAAGTACAATAACGTGCAGGTTTCACAATGCAGGGTAGAAATAAGGTTCAAAAAAAGGAAATTTTTAATAGAAATGATCAGTAATTAACATTTCCTTTTTGAATTTAATGCTTTGGGAATCGGGTTTTGTATTACAATGATGCGAGTAAACTTTAGATTGAATACAGTATACTGTATATATTTAATTAATATGTTATCATTATTTTTAGCGACAAGTGCATATGAGGATCTTTTTAAAATCCTTAAACATTCCAAATTTTGCAAAGAAGATGTTATTACAAACATTCGAAGTTTCTGCAAATAGAGATATAAACTGCTTTTACTTCAAGTTAGGCAACATGATGTACCTATTTGTGAACAAATGCGCTATCTACACTTTTATCTACTAAAAAAGCATTTGTCATATTCCCCTTGGTGTATTTGGAACGTGTGCTCAATAACCCAACACTTATGCCCAAGATGCATTTTGAACCCGGCATGGTTAAAGATGAAAAGAGTGAATCTTGGCATGGAGATCTCTGGCAGGAATCTCTGCTTTTTGGAGAACATTAAATAAAATGTAAGGTTGAAGGTTAGTATTTAATATTATCTAAATGTTCTTTTTTTAATATCTAAACTGCAAACATCGAAATTGACCTCTTGTATCCATCGTTATTAACCTGCTAAAAAAAATATTCAACGCATTTTTATTAGTCATAGTAAATTAATGCACGATTAAAAAAATTTTTAATCAATTAGTAGACCATGGCATATAGCAAATACAGTATTACCACATTACGGTTTAAAAAAATTATATGTAATTTTTCTTTGTTTTTTTTTTTAGTAGGTCAATAGCTATAGATTAAAGGGCGTTTTTATATCTATATTAATTTGAAATTTTTTACAAAGATAATTATTTTTTTTTAATAAAATAAATTTGTTTTTATATTGAATAATTATCTATAATTAGAAATTTATCGTCCCAACGATTTTCTTTTATATGAAAAACAATCTACAAAAATTATATGTCGCATTCGCAGAATAGTAATTAATAAAGTTGATAATACTCATAAACTAAAAGTTGACCGACTTCTTCAAAATAAGGATCTTCTTAATTATCATTCTAATAGTGTTCGCCACAATCGTAAGAACAATGAAGAGCTATGGCTAGTTGAGGGTGATCCTACATTTATTGATCCAGCAAACATTAATCGACGTATTATGGTGTGGCTACGTAATTTGCCAGAGCCTGAAAATTATGAATTTTATGTTCAAGAGATTGTCTACTATTTTGGTGGCTGCTGGAAATTTCGCGATATTTCAAAGAGATATTAGTTACCTTCAGAGTATACTATATACAAACCACCACCACAACCCATACCAATATTAAAGATATTTCTTGATCTTTATGTAGATGATTTTGGTATGTTTAGAAATGTATACCACTCTTTAGATGGTATATACTTACAATTTGGTAACATGCCATTCTCTTTTCATAAACTACTTAAAAACTATTTCTAGTTGGTTTAGTTCCATTTAGAGCCAAGTTTGATAATTTTATCAAACCTGTACTCGAAGATATAAAACAATTAGAGAATAGCATGATTATAAACACAATATATAGAAGTATATGAGTTGTAAGTGGTCTCAGGTATGTAACTGCAGACTTACCCAAGGTAATGACCTTGCAGGTGTTAAAAGACATGGGGCCATTCACGGATGTCGTACATGTAATATTGCTAGTGATCAACTTACCAGCCCAGATTACAACTATGTTGAAAATGCTCGATTTCGACAACAAACCAGCAAATGATTACTAGATATTGGATATCAGAAAGAAAAAGTTAATAAAGAACAGTTAGCTACTAAGTATGGTTTGACAGCATTTTCTAGACCTTTAAATTCTCTTATGTGGAATCAGCATATGCAGATCCCGCAGGACATTTATCACTCGATGGGAGGTAAAGCTCAAATGTTATTAGATGCGACACTCAATATACTTAATACCAGAGGTGCGGAGGCCTTTCTAAAAAGCTAAAAAGCTATTGAAAAACCCCCTTATTGGAGTCGTATGCCCAATCCATTAAGACACCAGCACAGTTTTATGTTTTCAGATGTATTAAAGCTTGCTATATTGATGCCATTTATACTTCAACGTTTTTTAAATTTTCATCATATAAAAGCTGAAATTTTAAAAAAATTACAAGAAAATCTTAGTAAAAGACAAGTTATTACACAATTATGTTCTCTCTGGGCTATTGAGGCCAAATCCCTTAAGCTCACATTTACAGTGCCTATGACTGATATTATTTATCAAGAACTACAAGATTCTTTAATAAAAGAGCATGATATACTTATTCAAGTTAGTCTTTGTAAATTATACTTATTAGATGGTTTGGAATTAAAATAATTTTTATCTGCTCTTAGCTTTTTCAAAGCTATATTTTGAAGCAAATATTATTTAAACAAAACTATAATATATAACTGCTATCTAATAAAGTTTTAATTGAGACTTTAATTAAAGCACATATTTCTTTTGGTCTGGAATCACATGCAATAATTATGAAATTCGGAAATACCTTGAAAGTTGAGTTTTTTTGATTTATTAAATACTTTTTTTTAATGCTATAGTATTTTGATTCCTGTAATACAGTATTCTAATTTACTAGTTTCAAATTTTTGTTTCACAATTAGGTTTTAATATATTTTTTTTCAAGATTTTATTTGACTCACAACTTTGATTATATGATACTAAAAAAAAGAATTAAATAATCAACTCCATATATAGAAGACTCAAAATAGGCATTATCATTATACGTATGGGTTCTTTCACAGAAAATCGAGGCTTAGAATCGAATTTTTGATATTTAAATATCAATGTTTAATTATTGACTTTTATATAAATCGACATATTATCATTTTTAACTGCATAATGAACTGTATAAATTGTAATATGCTAATGCTTACCAAAGTTTTTGCCACGGATAAAACATGTACTTAGGAATATAACCCAATAAAATCTCAATTACGGTTAGAACTTCTCTAAACCCTGATTTGCTATGAAAAAACCCATATAGTAACAAGCATAGATAAAGTTTTGAAAAAAGCAATAATTTTATTCTATATGAATAAAATAAATAATAAAATTTTAATTCCAAACCGTTTTACTATTTTTACCATTATATATATTGATTATTATTTTTAAAAACAGGTATTTCCAGAAAATTTTAAAAACCTACCAAATCTTCATATAAATGTACATCTTTTGCAGCACGCTCGAAACTTCGCAACACTAGCAAACGTTGCCATTGATGTTAAAGAAATGGTTCACCGCACTTTCAAGAGAATGGTTCCCCATATTAACTGCAAGGTCATCGAACTTGAACTCACTCACTATTACAATACAATACAGGCGTTGAGGCACATCTTTGATGGCTAGCAAAATCCCCATTTTGATATTAATGCTAATACTCTTCGTAATCTCATTACGGATCCCAATCTTGAGAAAATTTTCTCAAATTGGTATGCTTTTGGTGGTACACCACTCATCTCAAAGCCTGAACAAGACGAAAAAAATAATTGTAACTAGTAAATTTAAATTTTTTATAAGGCACTATATTTTTATTAAATATACAAAATATTTTTTTTAGATACTGGGTGCGTTATTTGCCATGATAAGAATTTTATTAACATTAAACTCAAAAACTGGTGGGATATCAAGAAAATAACGAATATGGATTTAAGCGTAATGATAAATGAAGATCACTCACTTATTCGAGATCTCTTTAATTTATATGCACAATATCTTGGATTTCGATGTGCATTACTAAATAAAAAGCTCGAATATTACAACTATATTGCGTACACTTTTCTTAATAATGAGAAAGATCCTATTAAATTGAAATTTCATGTTGGAGATATCGTAGAGTTAACAGAGAATCCAGAAGGCATTACCTATGCTAAAATTAGACTAATTTTAAAACATAAGGCAAACAATGAATGGAATTATGCTTTTTTTCAATTAGAAAAATTTCAAAGAACAAAGTTGTTTAATTCGGTATTGGGATGCCAGTATTACGTTAGAAAATCTGAAGAAACCTTTATTTTTCTAATCAATTATATTAATCATTCTTCTCGAGTTCATTTTTTGCATGCTTGCACAGACACGTGCGATACTAAGCACGATGAAATGAATAATAGATACATATTAAATGGATTTTATTATAATGTAATATAATATATATATTAGAAAATTAGAATCTTTGAACAATTATTATTTACTCTTATACTAGCATCTATTGTACAATGAGTTGTCATTAAAACTAAGGAAAATTCATTTAATAATATATAAAAATAAGGGACTTAATCTTTATTTATGTAGAACATTTAGTGAGCATTTAGATATGAGTGCTCAAGAATAAAAACCTTTAAGTAAATACAGTATTTGACTCAAAATTTTGTATGATTTTTGACCAATCAAATTTCAAGATCAGGCTGATCTTGAAATTTGATCATACAAAATTAATTAATTATTGTATTCTGCATATTTTTCGCTATTTGGACTGATCCGGGTATACCTTATAATCGCTGAATTTTACTATAATAAACTATAGTTAGACAAAATTTTACTATAAAGTTAACTTCTAATATGATTAGGTTTCTTTTTATCTTCTACCCAAACGACTAT